CTTTGGTTATTTGTTCCATCGTAGTGAAAAATCAAGTATGAGAACGAAAGAGGAAAAATATCATAATATATGAAAGTTAAAATAAAGCAATGATTTATGTAATTCCAAAAAGGAACAGACTGCTCATTGGTCGGTGTACCACATTGCGTTAGGCTCACCACTAAGGATGTCACAGGTATTGCAGATTGACAACAATTTACCAGTAACATCTATAATTGAATCGTGCCCACCAATTGAAACCAAAAGTCAGAAGAGAGGAGGCTGTAAGATATATTTAATAGCTTATCAATATATCGAGAAGTGACTGATCTAAGCTAGCTAGTGATCTCAGGAGACGTTGAAAACGCCGTTCTAACTCGTGATCTGGTGCGGATGCATGACCGCGCGCCTTCAGCTAGGTGAGTCCATCAAAACTGATATGGTCAGCATCCAACGTCGAACACTTACAGATCTATTGATTTTGAGGATTCATTTATCGCTACACTCTGAAACTAAACCAATGATAAATAGACACATAACTATCGGGAAATAAAAGAAAACCTAAACATCAGATGTACACAACAATAAACACGAGTATAACTTTAAAAAAACACTAAAATAGTCACAAACATACTAAGATTTCGTTAAAAACTCTAACATTTTGCTGGAAATGGTAACTACAAGTTCTTTTTTGATAATTTTGTTTTCTACATGACATCCGCCTCTTTCTGAAAGACTTTTGCTGCTTTTTTCAGTTCGTTAGGCTTTTGAGTGCTTGAAGGTACGGTTTATGCTGCTACAGAGATCGACTACAGTTTCAGTTTAGAAAGAACAGGAGGCTTGATGGCCTGTGTTAGTCCTGGCAATGTTGGTCTCTCAGTCGATCCACTTTTCTTTCGAAAGAGTCAACTACGTCCTGAGGTAATGAACTCCACTCGTTGATGATTGGATAGGAAAGTCGATAGTCAGTCGACAAGTAATTCCTTCTGGGCTTGTGAACGTTTTTGGAGTGTCCTCGTAAATTTTCTGTTTTGGAAGACAAGAAAAATGAGGGCATATCAGGTGAAAATTTATCACTAAGCATTTGAAGACTGTTATCAAGTCGCCTCTGGTTCTTCGATATGACAGCAGGAATAGGTTTAGCTTGGTCAGTTTAGCATCATATGGGAGCTTCGCTATTGCAGTAATCAGCTTAGTTACTGTTCTCTGAACCCTTTCCAAAAACTCAATGTATTTTTTTCAAGCAGGGGATAGTTGCTTGTATACAGTACTGAAGTTCAAGACGCACGAACACTGTATACAAAGTCAAAAACGTTTTAGCGTCGAGATGACTAAAAGCCCTACGTATTGGCCATAAAGTTCCAAAACTTTTGGCAGGTATTGCACGGCAGTGTGCAGTGGCTAACGATGACTCCTAAGTCATCGTGTTTCTGAGCAACAGGTAGTTCAGTGTTATTCATCGTGTATTTATCCGTACCTTGATGACTGATATGCATCACAATACACTTGGAAGTATTTATCGTCAACTGCCAGGTTCGGGACCGTTCAGATAATTTCTCCAGGTCATTTTGGAGTTCAGAGCTATCACCCTTACTTTGTATCGCTCTCCATATCTTGAGATCGTCAGCGTATAACAAGACAGATGACGATGGTAGACGAGGAAGGTCATTTACGTACAAGAGGAATAACACTGGCCCCAAAACTGTACCCTGGGGGACTCCACTAAGCATAGTTCCACAGCCAGACAACTTGGAGTTCACCCGTACTCTTTGTTGGCGCCCAACCAGGAAGTCTTTTATCCACATCAATAGACTGCCCACAATCCTGACATTTCTCAGCTTAAATAACAGCCGGTTGTGCGGAACGTTGTCAAAACGTTTGCTGAAGTCAATGTAGGTTACAACTACAGGCAACTTTTGGTCCTTAAGAGCGCACCAGCTTTCACGAGCTACTTCTCCGAAAGGGTCCGGTTTTCATGGAGGTACTTCAACAGCACACGTCATCTCGGCGAGGCCTTGTGATGTGTGCATTCGACTTCAACAGCTGCTTCCGAATTATCTTTTCTAAGATTTTAACAACCACACAAGTTAAGCTAATGGGTAGGCAATTCTCAGGTTTATGTTTTGTACCGGTTTTGATGACAGGACTTACTATGGCGTTCTTTCAGTCTTCCGTTAAACGACCCTGGGTTATGGATAGATTAAAACATATACTTAAGGGATTCGCAACTAAGTTAGCTAATTCACTTGGTAACCTAAAATGCAGTCCATCGGGTCCAGTGCATTTGCCTATTTCAAGCTTATTTAGCAGACCAACGACATTGTGTTCTTTAATGGTCACCCTGTTCAGTGTTTGAGCTTCGCCAAAGTCGTCCTCCATTAATGATGAGGCAGTACTGTCTCCCCATAGTGCAGGAATATTTCTTCTTTTTGTCCTTTGGTTTATATACAAATACAAGCGTTTAGGACATTCTATGGATTCTTTAAAAATTTTCTTTTTGTACGGCTTTCTAGACTTACGGAGGGTTGAGGCACAGGTATTTCGAGCTTTTTCATACTGATATTTTGCCTGATTAGTCCCCAATAATCTAAATCTATCCCACATTTTCCTTCTTTTACGGAGAAGGATGCGAACCTCCCTACCGAACCGCGGTGGGGAGTTTCTCAGCTCCCTAAGTGTAGTCCAAGGGATGTGGGATGCGGTAACTTTTAAGTATAAATTTCAAAATACATCTCAAGCCGTTTCGATTGGGGACTCTGGGTCTATTGTCCAATCTACTGACGATGCTGAGTGCATGATTTCTTATATGTTTGCTTTCCAGACGTTAGGTGTGAATTGAGCTGACGTGTGCTCTTGATTGACAGTTATATAGAATTCAGGTTCACAACGTCCTCCTCGTGGTCACTCCTTTCATATGTTGCACTACGGCACATGTGATAACCTCATCAAGTAGCTCCTACTCGAAGGAATTATCTGACGATTCAGTTCTCGGATTTCCCCAGTCTACTATGGGTGCATTAAAGTCCTTTAGGATAAGACATCAACCACTTCGTGACCAAGTGTTGAGACTGCTTAGCAGGACCTCATTTATCTCACAACTTGGACTGTGATAGATCAAACCAATCGGCAGCTCTTTTCTCTTGCATTTGAAGCGGCAACTAACTGATTCACGCACCCCACTCTCATGAGATGCACTGTCGATAATGGCGAATGGAATAGCACTCCTAATGAATAGAGCTACTCCCCTCCTTTACGCTTTTGTATTCTCTCGGCCCTTACTAATGTAAAACCCTCGAAATCAAGTTCTCTACTATCTATAGACTGCGTGGGCCAAGTTTCTGTGACTGCGATTATGTCAGGCTTAGTGGAGTCAATCTGTACACCTAGTTCCGATCGATTATTGAACAAGCCTTGGGGGTTGGTGTAAGAGATCTGAAGCCTCATTAAGTGACCTCGTGCTTCATCCAGAGTGGCCTCCGCACCATACCCTGTCAAAGCCTCACAACCCGAAAATTTACAATTTTTAAGCCTTTTTCGGCTGCGTTTAATCTAAGCTGTAGTTCTTTTTCGGCTTCCCGTCTTTTTACGCGGTCCACCAGTGGTAAGTCCTTACAAAAGAAAATCATGAACCCTTTAATTTATGTCTGCTTTGTAAAATTAGGTCGCGTTCGTTTTTAGATTTGAATACTACTTTGTGTAGTCTAGACTGAATAGGTTTCAAATTCGCCAGGCTACCTAGTCTATACATCTTTAGCAAGGTGACTCCGGAGATGTTTTGGGGCATTACTTCGTTGAGTAGTTGTTTTATCAACACAACGTCATGCTCAAAACGAGCTTTCGGTTCTGAGCTTTCACTCTCCTTGTTTCTATGGAAAATGACTGATCAGTCGCTGTGATCAAACTTCGGCTTTTCGACTACTTTGGTGGGGGTAGGATTCCCTTTTACGTCGTTTTATCGTTTTTTGCTTACGACCTGTAGCCAATTGTCGACGTTGTTTGGAGTAGTGACCACAGTCGCGTCAGGCATACTATGGGATTCCGGAGGGTTGAGGACGACCTGGGGGGTCGGGTCGTGTTTTGCATTGGAAACCGACCAAGCCTTGGGATTTCGGCTTCTGGAAGTTCCCTGCTGGATACCATTTTGAAGATGGGAGACAGAAGAGATTTTTTTCTCGAGTTTCTGGTTGGGACGGACCTCCTTGGAGGCTGTCCTTCCTCCTTTGGATGATGTGGGTCAGCACTTTTCGAAATCACCTGTACTTGCCTTACATCAATCTGCGTGTCGACAGATGGAGTTCTGTACGAAGTGTCCCAATCGCGCTTGCTAAGACACTTTTTCGCAGCATCTACCATTTAGACGGCCTCGGTTAACAAGCTGTTTGCATCCGAACAGCACTGGTGACAAAACTATATGCAACCATTTTTACTGAACCGTTTGAAAGCCGCAGGCGTTAAAATCGTGCAAACTTCGTGGTATCAGCCTTTGCATTCATTGCATTGCATGCCACTGTCAACGGGATATCGATAGCCTGAACGTTGGCAATTGCTTTTTTGCACTTTCCAGTTATTAAAGGTCTTTTTAAAAAGAACTAGACAAAATAATACTCAGAGACAAAAATGATCTTTGACGAAAAATTGGTGAACTGTAAATTGTTATCGATTTACGTTATTTGTTGTAAACAATAACGCCAATTAGCATGACAAAAACACCTGATAACTAACATGGAGAGAAGACAAATTGTAGGAAAACGTAAATTTTGGAATAGAACAGACAATATAAATCGGCAGAACACCACATGTGCAGTAGTAAAACATGACTTTCCAGCAATGCTGGAAATTAACCGATATTTTTTTAACCACCATCGCAGTCAGAATAACAAACTGTTGATACAAGAAGTTGCTCAAGTCCTGGAATCTTTCTTCACAATCAAAGAGGGTTTACATGGTGAACAACTGCTCAATATTAGCCTTTCACTGAGATATTGATTATTATTATGTTTCCCGTAATTTTGTCGGCGGTTATTCGGTTGGGCGTTTTCCGTAACGATGACAACCTCACTATGACGACCTCAGCTAACAGTGTACTTTCGAGCTAGACGGGAGTCGCTATATAACAAGTATTTTTCGAGGGGCTTTTCAACCATTAGTAGAAACCGTTCTCTACTATAAAAGTACAATGAATTCTAACAAGAAATTTTCGAATAACTTTGAAGCTTGTATCTTTAAAGCTAAGAAAAATATTTTGCAAACTATTAATAAAAAGAATTCCGTAAGTAGTGTCACGAGGATCCTTCGTCGTGATTTGAAGTCTCATCTCTCCGATGTATCGAAAAATGTGGCTTGCGATTGTAATCACATGAGATCATACACTTATGACAATGTCGACAGTGATCTCTCCTCTGGAAAACACAATAAATACACGCAATCAGTTGCATATGTAGGCGGTTCGTTGCGGATGTTAAGCAGTGAAGAATGTGAGTTAGAGTTCAGTTTCATGCTTCATTTTGTTGTACATATCAGTTGTGTGTGATTGTGTCAAATATGTAGATCCAGTAAATCTCGAAGTGCGTTTTATTTTCAATTGTCTTTCTAGCTGTATGAATGCACACGTACTTATAGTGGGTATGTTTATGGTGCTGCTCTACTCCACTTCTTGGTTTACACAGTGATTAGTAGGTTAACTCATGAATGGGTTACGTGACGTTCAAGCATGTTCTTATTTGTATTATGATCTCTACATAAATGTTCTTATGTTTGGTTTTCATGTCCCTTTTTGTGCGGATTCACGTACCCACCTCTCAAAAATAACTTGGTAACAAAGTGTTTTTCCCAGATTGTCTCTAGTGTCTTGAACATTCGATATTTTTCTAATAGAAACTCAAGAAGACCGAATCATGTCCTTTATAGTATTATATCAACTTCATAAATTAAAATGTGGTCCACTGATTGCATTTCAAGTCGTTCCTTGCTGACTATTTTTGAGACCTTATGCTTACCATATTTAGTTTTGATGACTTTTGGACGTATGCTAATATACTTCTTGAAATCAGAATATCTGAAGTTACTGTCTGACTCTGATAGTAGTTTTTATACAAACTTAGTCTCGACTAAATATTGTACACATCACAAGATCTTATGAAGTGTTTATTACACACTAGTCAAACACCATCTTTAATTCGTTTGTGTGAGGCTTTCATATCGTTCTGATTTAAAGTATTGGTTTTCTGTCAGGTATTCAATGCTAAAAAATACGTGTTCCATACATTCTTCAAAACCCAGTTTACATATGGTTTACATTAAACTAGGGATTTATTTGGAGGTAAACCATGAAACAAAATTGTAAAAATCTTACTATTAACTTTTTATTTAGGCTCTTTGGTTTGATAATGTTTTCATATATTTACATTAGTTTAAAACTTTGTGTTCAGTCGTTATGAGTTTTTCGCAAAGTTGTATTTTCAACATACTTTGTACTCATCTGAATATAGGGCCCGTTTCAATATATAATTGTTCAAGATCGAAATAAATAGCTTCAAGATTGACTCCTCTGTGATAGAATCTGTAATGTATCAGACGAGGTCTAGATATTACTTACATCTGTCAGCCTAACGGTATGTCAAAAGTTAGATACAAATTGTACTTAGGATGGGTATATTTTAGATAGGCTAGTGTTGAACGTCAGACAAATAAACAAAAGATGTGGTGATCCTTTAAAGGATAGGAATTAGTTAATACACTGACTGAAAGAGTATTAGGGTGACACAGTTCTTATTAGCTACTTAAAAAATACAGGATGTGGATGAGCATACCATCATACAGATGTATAAAGCATGTTAAAGGTGTTTGAGAGGGCCAAATACGTGGACAAAATAAATGGAAAGATTATGATACTAAATTTACACGATATTAAATGGAAAAAGGATTTTGGAATCAAACAACCTTCACCTTATTGTAAAGAAATTTACTTCTCTTCTGAACGAATGGCCTGAAACTGACCATTATTTAAAGTTAGAGTTCAATAAAGTTTAAATTTTTAAGTCAGTCAGCCGGAGAGTACAACATTGCATAAGTTGTTACACCACACTAATACAATGAGATGAAATTGCGAAGACAAGTCCCTGATTAGTAGAACTAATAGCAGCGTCACTAGTAGAAGGGAAGATTAGAAACAGGAAATGCAATACAAGAAGAAACAATTTATCCTCAAAAGTGAAAGAGAAAAATCATAAAATGATTTCGAAATTTGGGATCCAAGGGTTGATAAAAAATGAATGCAACTTAAATGGTGGTGTTATAGTTGTATACAGAACATACATCATATACATTCTATTTGAGCACAGAAATGTTTATATTATTTCGTTTTTCTCCAGGTTACTGCTTTACGTCGGTGATACGTTCTCGAACGCGCATTTACTTTGGTTTCTGGCTACGTTTAGCTACAGATTATAAATCCGCACGTATTTTGCGTGACCATAATCTACTCAAATCATCTTTACTTTTTTGGAAATACGGTATCCTTTTTGTCATGTAAATTAATTCGTCCTTCTAGATATGACTTTCAGAAAATTGATAACGAGGTACAGATTTGTTCCATTTACTGAGATTTAAACAATTAAACTATGCATAAACTTCATTTAATGCAAAAATCTATCTTGACCAATTACAATATGCTGGATGGCGATTGAAACGTACATTAATTTTTTAAATGAATTGTTCGATCAGTGAAGTACTTGTTGGTCAATCTTATTCCTTATATTTACCTCATACTCAATGTCATCTTGTAGTTTCTTCCCTATTCCTACTTTTAATGCCAATGAAACTACCCGCAATAACTTTGAATCCTCGATACATTTTTATCTAAAAACTGTATTTTGTCACTACTCTGGCAGTTCATTCAGTATGACATCTATGGCTCATATGTGCTAAGCTGTCTTAACAGAAGTAACTTTGTAAATCATTTAGAATTTGACTATCGAATCTCGCTAAAATTTGCAAACAAAAAGGCTACAGATTATCATAACTTTAATATGAAGGTAATTGTTTAAGTTCATTTCTGTTTTCCTAATAAGATGTGCGGACGTTTACTCAATATTGATGTTTTATTCTTCCAGTTGCGCTCACTTTTTATTTGGGTGTCTTACGTACAAAGAAGACGGAAAAGCAACAAGTCAAAAAGTATGGCAAATGCTAATTATCGTCTTCAGGTGAGTAGACAACCTTATTTTCAGTACTGTAATAAGACTGGTAAAAATTTAAGTTTGTCGAATCGTATGGGTATCACTTAGAGCCCAATCGTCAATTATAGGAACAGATATAATAATATCTTGAGTTTTATTCCAGTCACTTGCATGACTGAATAGTAGATCTACATTCATGACGATGACCATTACATTTTGGAGATAGTTACAAGCGCACTTTGTCATATTGATTGTATGATATTTGTCTTCCGGGACATGAATTTATACTTTTTCTAGCTCTTAGAATAATGAGTTTACTTTTTGATCGAATGTCTTTTTGCGATACGATTATGAAATAAATTATAATTCTTATTTTAATAAATCAAGGCATTGCAAAGTCATATGACATGTTGGAAAATGAAGCATTTTTTAACTGGAGAATCTGCTGTTGAAAAATCCCTTTTTTCTGCAGCAAGAGCTCACCACCGTCGGCATGCTTTACGTAAAACTTTATTTGCTTGGATGTTAAGAAATCAGTTTTGGCAACAAAAAAGGACATTACGTAATACCGCACTAAAGTTTCTTCACAATAAACTGAACAAATCTATCATGGTATCAGTAATTCAAGAATGGTATCACCAAATTTCAGATATTCAAACTTCAAATAAACATAATAGGTAAGCTGAGTTATGAAGTATTACTTACCAGTATTACTTATATGGAAATGTGTCGCTCTGTGGTACATTTCATTCTATATAATATCAAATTTATTCATAACAGTTGTTCATCGTGACATTGCTTCTCGCGTATTTATTTTCTTGTTAATTGAGCTTAAAATTCAGCTTTTTTATTGTTTATTTTTATGGCTCAAATGAAATAATGTAATATCTGAAAACATTTAAGTGATGTAATGGTACAAATTTGTGCACAGGCTAGTCATCAAACGCTGGTCAATAGTATTTTCAAATCATAACTGCTATTTGAGGTCTACCTATCATGAGCTAATCTACAGTCTACAGTTTTAATAAATAGTAGTAGTAGTCAAGGCTTCGGAAATCTTCACTTTTTTAAACATTGATTTGCTTATTAATTAAACTGTAAATGCTCTGGTGTATTTGTTAAAAGGTGTTATATAACTCACAAAAGTACGCTACATCCAATATCTATAAGGACGAATGAAGTATGTACTATTAAACATACGAAGTGTGGGAAACATTTGCTGTCTAACTTTAAGTGCACACCTACGATCCTGCACCCGGGGCTCGAACCCAAGACCCTCTGTTTTGTGCGAACAATTAACCTCTGGACCACTGAGCCGGGATCCATCGGTGGTAATGTCGAACTTCAACCAATCGTGTCAGGTGTGATTCGATTGGCCACTGAAAACAATGGAGTGTGGTCACGCAATATGATGGACTAGTTGATGTTAGAAGTTAACACTGACGTATCTCGGCTCTCCACAACCCTTTACTGATATTTCATTCTTTTAACAAACAGAGCGGAACATAAACATCAGTATATTTCTTTGGATTAAATCAAGTAAATACTATGGACTATTTTATAACAGCCCCCGAAATGACCTGGTACGGACGAAGTGTTATGAATTTAAAAAATAAACAAAGGACGTATGCTGTTCGTTATTGATTTTTATGTCCGGCTTTTATCACGTGAATTATCCACCAACCAGAATACGACTTTTCTAGTCTCAATACTGTGCCAATCAATGACGTTCAACTAACATGAGCAGTCTAGCGTCCTTATTGGTTTTTTGTCCGCCTAGCCCTTCCACCTTAGTCCAGAACACCAACTACAGCTTCAGCTATGCGAATATATGTGAATCATTTATTTCATGCATACTCTGTTTATATACTAGACAGACAGACCACATCACACCAAAAAATAGAAAATAATATTTGTACAAGATCAAGCCAAATGTGGCTGTGAACGTGGGAGACAATAATCAATAAACTGAACATTATTCGGGAACAGTGAATCGTACATTAATAATTCATAGGTCAAAATAAAGCTTATAATAAGATGAATATAGATATACACAATCTATTTATTCAATATTTAAACAATAATAATATATATAGAATAATCGTCCACTAATGGATCCCGGAAGTTATCCATACTTATGTCTTCGCTAGGATATAACACGAAGGTCGGGAGAGTCCTCCCTCCCTCTTGAAATGCTCTCACATGGCCACGTGTATACAACCACTGACAGAAAAGTCCTACTCACTGATTTCTCGCGGCAGGGTTGTTGTTTACGAAATTGAGAAAACAAAAGACGAATGTCCGGCACTTTAACCGGGTCGGTGGACACAGAGATGGGGGTTAGAAAACCCTGATTCTAAACTGGTGGTGCACGTGGGCTCCAGGATCCTGAGAAAAAAGTGACTTATCAACCTATTGTTGGTCGCCGCCTTCAATGAGACTGCATCTTCTGATGCTGCTCCATTGCCTTGTGGGTTAGACCTTTAGATCAAAGGCTCTAGGTGTGGTCCGCTAAGGAAACTATCTGCTTCTGTTTAGGCATCCGGGCGATATCACAGCCTTCTCTGGCTTCAACACTCTCCCAGACAAATCTTATTCACAATCATATAATAACGTTCGTTTTTATTTCTTTTATAATGCGTCACTGATGTATTCTCCTTTATTCTCGATTTGCGTATTTTAATTTACAACTTATACAGCAGTTCGCCTATGATGGAAAGCCTGTCCTATCTAAACGGTCTCAAGTCACTGACTGGTCGAAACTTGAATGATATCACCGACTATGAATATCGAAACAGTCTTTCCGAAACGCCAAATAGGGCGAAACTCACGTCCTGGATTCCATTGCTAGCAACTATCCATTTTTGCTTATAAAGCTTATGATCTAAGGCAATATTGAGGCAATCCACACAGGACGCACATATGCCAACAAGAGACTGATCAATTGCAGTCCTAAACAACAATGGGATATAAGCAAACAAAAAGTGAATTTAAACTTCATCCTATTGCACAAGCAAATGGCTATCATGACTCAGTAGCTGAGTGGATAACTCGATGGCGTTTGAAGCGAAAGGTACTGGGTTCGAGTCTCCGAGTGAACATCAACTCTATGATGCAGGTACATCCAACTGACGAGTCCGAAAAAGGACGAAACGCGCGTCCTGGATTCCACTGCTAGCCACTACCCATCTTTGCTCATAATTGTAATTGGCTAAAAAATAAAGATAAAACTAGGTGGTTAATTTAATCCACTTTCGATACCTTTCCTTATCTTAAATAATTTGAAGTGTGTTGAAATAGTAGTAAAACCAACTTGATTTATTTATCCTTCAGATGAATACAATGAACATCTGTATTCCTTTATTTTTAATAAGTTATAAACATTCAATAAATATGAAATCAGTCAACATGATGTACTGATTTGACGACATCAGATTCATATTCCAGTTGTACATGGAACTAATTGTTACTCTGCAGGATTGTAGTTCGACTCTGTACAAGATGAAAAATTCACGCTTCTGAAAAGTGTGGAGCTTAAACTAAAATTCTGTTTGATGTTTCCTGGTTTTTGAAGTATCTTCAGTTGATGAAGTCTATGATAAAGTTGTCTTAAACAATGTTTTGAATTTTGGAAATTAAATAGCGTATCCTTTGATTTGGATTTCTCCACCAGTCGAGTTGAATGTTTGAATTATTACGAAACAACTAAATATAAATCGCAATCATCTGATCTTAATTCTCCTTTCCTTTAGGTATAGGATTTTGAAGACGTTCCTAAAAATGTGGTCACATCGATGCGAAGTAACTATTATAGAACGTCAAATGTATTATTCTGCTTGTAATTTACATTCTATTTCAGTACGTCGTCGGTGCTTTTCGCTATGGAGAAATTATGCATTATACAAGAGAAAAAAATACAAACAAATAAAATTTGTTACTCGATTTTATAAAATAAATCAAATAAAAAAGTATTTTGTTGCTTGGATGAATTACCATTTTGTGGCTGCTGATCATCGCAGTAGTGTTCAATCCATGAATGTAAGTTTTACGAACTATGAAGAATTAGCTGTTCTGTGAGCCTTATTGTTGACAGATTAATGTATTGTAGCCTTGCTAGATATCTAATAGTCTGTTGACTAAAATTCAGTTATCATATTACTCCAAGTTACTAGATCTCTAATACCACTGCTCAGTGATCAATCACCATAAATATATGTCATAGCAGGACCAATATTGAAAACACTGAAACTTTGGGACAAATATGCGGATTGTTATCATGTATATTTTTATAGTATAACTATTATGTATTGGTATCGCTTTTCTTAATCCGTTTTTTCTAAGCTTCTGTTGAACCTACTAACTATTATTATATAATTTATCATTCTTTAATTATTTATGTACAGTTTCCTCCGTTCTTTGCCTCTTATAGTTATGGCATGTTTGTTCTTAAAGTATGATTTCATGCTTAGGGTGCGTCGGGGTCCGGTAATATATATATATATATATATATATAAACTAATGGATGTTTTAGATGAATATACCAGGCACCTGTGATATCCAGTGGAAGCTTGATAGCTATTTTCTTTTATGGAACTGAAGAGTGGAAATAAAAGGAGAGCATACATTTTAGAGCAATAGGTGTTAGGACTATTCTCGATTTCAAACTCAGAGTTAACACCACCAGTCGAAGCGTGTAGTCAGTTTAAGCCAACCAGAAATTCAACTTAGCAACCAATATCGATTAGCATTTCAAACATAATAATAGAGGGGGTTATTTTCCATCTGAATAGCGTGGTATCAATGTTTTTGACTACAATACTCAGTAGTTTCTGTCCGTATCCCATGAAGAGCATCAGTTTTCTTAAGATTAGATATAGGTTTCTTGATGATTTCTGATCAATACAAAATTTCGTTTAAGATTTTAGCTAACTGCATCCAAACACTTAACATTTCGAGCATTATTTTAAGACTTGCTAAGATCTGGTGACGTTATGATCATAAGCCAGTCCAAGGTGATTCGTATTCTACAGAAATGAATCCTTGAAGATTTGACTTTCAATTTGAGTTATGCTTTAAGATTTTATACAAAACTAGTAGCATTATGGTAGAACTGCTTAGATTATTACTATTTCTATCAGTTATTTAGTAAATTATACTTCAATCGTGGTAAGAACATTATTACTAGAAAATTATTATCTCTTTCTTTATCTCAAGATGAAACGTAATACATCATTGATCAAACAGTGTCTACTAAAATGGAAAGATTATTGTACTATTAAACAAGAATTAATGTCAAAATTATCTCATTTTAAAAAGTGTCAGAAAGGCAAATTACTCAAAGAATATTTTCAATATTGGTTGAGTAATCTTCTCTTTAAACAGTCACAAGAACTAACGATATGGAACTTTAGAAAACAAAAACTTATGGAAAGCATAAAAAAGGTAAGTCAGTGCTTAAAGTGAACTTCGATACTTTTCTATCTTCAAAAGGAATAGACATTTTATACTTTACAACCAATTGTAAATTTCATTTTACTATACTATATGTCTACTCCATCCTAAAGAACTTTTTTTTCGAGGTCTTACTTTGTATTCCGTGTCGGATTCACTGTTTGTGTGGAAACATCATTGCAAATGTTTCCAATTCACGAAATGTGTACTTAAAAGTAGACATGTTCATGCTATTTAAAGCTTACAGTATATCTTGACATAAAACCTTGATCTATTATTTTCAAATCTTCATCCTGAAATTTAAAATTAAACTGGATATTGTTTAAATTTGTAAACAGTCCATCCTAAAATTTATGCCTAACAGTCATATAGATACCGAAATATTCATTAATTTATCATTCTGTACACGATCTATCCTTACGAAATCCAGCTTGTTGATCTCGAAGTTGGGCGTCCACGGAATCCTTCATCCTGTTTAACAATACTCTGTTGAAGACTTTTCCTGGTATTGAGAAGAGAGTGATGCCCCTGTAGTTGTCGCACTTGCTCAGATCGCCTTTCTTTAGTATTTTGGTCAGAAGTCCTTTTTTCCAGTCTGTTGGTACTTGTTCTTCGTCCCAAATCTTACTGAAGAGGATGTAGAGTACCCTGGCAGTTGCTGCTACATTTGCTTTCAGTGCCTCCGCCGGGATGTTGTCTGGTCCCGCTGCTTTGCCACTCTTGACTTGTCTAATGGCCATGCTGATCTCTTCAATTGTTGGTGGGCCAATATCGATTGGGAGGTCTGTGGGTGCTGCTTTGATGTTGGGTGGGTTCAGTGGAGCTGGTCGATTCAAGAGTTCTTTGAAGTGTTCTACCCACCTGTTTCGTTGTTCTTCAATGTCGGTGATTAATTTGCCTTCCTTGCTCTTCACTGGTCTTTCGGGCTTACGGTAATTTCCAGCAAGTTTCTTTGTTGTATCATACAGTTGTCTCATGTTTCCTTCTCTTGCAGCCTTTTCCGCTTTAATCGCTAAATCTTCCACATACTTACGTTTGTCGGTTCTGATGCTCCTCTTCACTTGCTTGTTTGCCTCTGTGTATTCGGCTTGTGCCTTGGCTTTTTCCGCTCTTGTTCGGCTGATATTGATTGCTGCCTTCTTGTTCCTCCTTTCTTCAATTTTATCCAGTGTACCAACAGTGATCCATTCCTTGTGATGGTGCTTCTTTTGGCCCAGAACCTCTTGACATGTTGAAACGATTGCCTCCTTGATACCTTTCCAGTTGCTCTCCATGGTAGTTCCCTCTTCATTGAGTAGATCATGAAAGGCCTGGAACCTGTTGCTGAGGGCTATGCTGAATATGTTGAGTTTGTCAGCATCTCGAAGAAAGGCCGTATTAAACTTTTGTGATGTTGTCCGCACCGTTGTCCAGTGCTTCTTGAGTTTTAGTTTCATCTTGGCGACCAGCAAATGATGATCGGATGCCATATCAGCTCCACTTCTGGTTCTCACATCCTCCATCGTCCTCCTGAACTTTTTGTTGATGCAGATATGGTCGATTTGATTCTGTGTAGTGTGATCCGGTGAAATCCAAGTGGCTTTGTATATGTTTTTGTGTAGGAATATGGTGCCACCTATGACCAGTTTATTGAAGGCACATAGGTTTGCATATCTCTCACTATTTTCGTTCCTTTCTCCCAGTACATGTCGTCCCATGACGTCTTCGTATCCAGTGTTGTCCTTTCCAACCTTGGCATTGAAAACTCTCATCAGAATGTTGAGGTCCTTGGTTGGGCACTTCTCGAAGATCGACTGCAGCCTATCGTAGAATTGGTCTTTAGCGTCTTCATCGTAGTCGTTGGTAGGCGCATAGCATTGAATGACGTTCATTGTAATGCCCTCTCTTTGTTTTGAAATAGGCTTTGATGATCCTTGATCCATGAGATTCCCATCCAATAAGTGCATTTTGTGCTTTTCTGGACAGCATCAATGCAACTCCTTGTGTATGTGGAGCATTTTCTTCTTCATGACCGGAGTATAACAGAAGTTCTCCTGAAGACAGTCGTTGTTCAACCTGCGTCCAATGTGTTTCACTGATTCCAAGCACCTCCAGGTTGTATTTTCTCATTTCTGCAGCAATTTGGAAGACTCTTCCGGGCTCCCACATTGTCCTGACGTTACATGTACCTATAAGAAGTGTTTCTCTGGTTGTAAGAAGGTGCATCGGCCTTATGACTTCCGAAGGAACTCGGCTTTCATCATGAGACGTCATAATTATTCCTTCTACTCCCAGGGCAGAGTTTGAAAGGTTTGAGTGATTTTTTCTGGTTAGCGTTTTTTTAGCGAGTTGATTTTCTACGGGATGGGGTCGCTAACCCCATGCCCAACCCTCCTCCTTTACCCGGGCTTGGGACCGGCAGTAGCCCCCAGAGGAGCTACAGGCGGAGTTTTTATTAGTAATCATTTAGCCATTATTACTTACTTTCAGTCAAAAGATATTTGTTCTTACCCTTAACCTACCCTGGTTATTTTACTATCCAGATTTATTATCCAGAGTGATCATCGCATTGTTTTCGTGTACTTTATTTATTTTCTTTGTTGCGGCTTACCTTAACTTGTCCAAAAGATATTTGTTGGATGATGAGGATGATCTAAGTTGATATATTCGGTTTGATAATGTCTTATCACAATAGGTGTTCTGTAATTACTTGATAGTTGGATAATATTCAAATGTCATCATAAATAATGATTGGTCACGTGTATTTTAATCTTTGAGACTTGTTTCCTGTCTATTCACTTCTGTTAAACTACTACATTCATCCGAAACGCAATGAGATTATTACGAAAATTGTACAACAAAGTAAGAATAATAACTTTTCAGTAAGGGGACAGCTAAAATTGATTTTTATTGAGTTAAAAGACGCTTACCACTGTTTGAGAAGAGCACAATACAGAACTACAGCAATACTGTCATTAACTTCTCTTTGAGTCATGTTTGATGACGTCTTAAAACACTGAGTTACACAATATTCAAGGCTTCATCTAGGAAGTTATGACGAATCAGCTTATGCTACTGTAACCATAATTGTCCTTCATTCCATGATCGAGTTATAAAACAAGTAAATTTCTAGAGTGTAAATCAGATACAGTTATCATTTTCTAGAAAATAAATTCAATGACATACTTTGGATTTCTGTACCCAATATGATATAACGGAAACTTAAGGACTTTGTTATTGCTCTGAGATACTAAATGCTTATTACAACCTGATTCTACGACTTGTAGATTCGAAAAATTAGAAATAGATCACTCTACTTGACCACATAAACTAAGGTACGCAACTCTGAAAAACTATTGAGAACCAGCTTAGACTGGACGATATTTCATTAACAGAAATTACAATAGATCAACGCAGTGAAAACCCAAGTCGAAATTGATAGTTAAGGAATTAACAACATTTTATAGTCTCGTATATTTAATGTAAGTAGATGGGCTTATCTTCACTCATTAGCCAATTATGTCTTACTTTCACCAACACATCCTAATTTAAACATAAATAATGTGTCTTAGTTCATATTCGTACTTAACCTATCTTGCTCATCGTAAGAATAAACAATGGACAGCGAATTCACTGAATTTCATTATATTCTTAAACTTTGTTTTGTACATCATACCTATTTGAATAGACGAATAATCACCAATCCAAGATCGTTGCTATATTTCAGACATTCAATTATACACATATAAGACCAGACCACGGAGCAGACCAAATTAGTCACAGTATTAACTCGGAACAACAACATTAATGATGGGAAAAATGAAATATTGGGTTCACAACTAATCAGTTCTAGTTCATGAGTTGAAAATGCTATAGCAACAATTTACGGTTCTAATAGAAGCTTGGAACTAAAGTAATATGAAAATAATCGAACTAAACTACTTAATTGACATGCAGTCAATACATATAATTGAAATCGTGGAAAAATAGCTTTAAAAGTTTTTACCTGATGGTTGAGTTGTCTCTTACAACAATAGTAACTCACTTACTTACGCCTGTTACCCCTCGTGGAGGAGCATGAGCCGCACACCAGCATTCTCCATGGAACCCTGTCCTGGGCGATCCTTTCCATTTTTTTCAGTTGTTTTTCATCCTTTTCATATCTGCTTCTATTTCCCGGCGTAATGTGTTCGTTGGTCTTCCTCTTTTCCGCTTCCCTTTCGGATTCCAAGGTACGGCTTAACTCGTGATGCAGTTTGGTGATTTCCTTAATGTAAGTTTGATACACTTCCAACGTCTTTTCCTAATTTCCTCTTCAGCTGGAAGCTGATTTGTCCTCTCCCATAAAACGCTGTTACTGATAGTATCCGGCTAGTGAATGTTGAGTATTTTGCATAGACAACTGTTTATAAAGACTTGTACCTTCTTGACGATGGATGTAGTAGTTCGTCACGTTGACAGTTTTGACCTATGTTCTTCAATTGTAGAAATGCGGTCATCGCTCTGCCAATCCTCGCCTTTACATCTTCATCGGATCCTCCTTGTTCATCAATGATGTGGATACGTGAATTTCTCTACATCTTCCAGAATTTCTCCATCAAGTGTGACTGGGTTGGTGTTCTCCGTGTTGTTGCAGTGCCGTGCTTCGATAATAGTTCACTTCGATAACCGTTATTATACCAATCTTAACGTTGTATAAAATCAGAAGGCATAAGGAAGCGGCAACTACAATTTTATTGATAAATGATGCAGACCAGAAAGCTGTGGGCACATGAGCAAGTGTAAGCGAGTGAAGCAAAGATGACGCATAGTGGAGATGGCTGGGAAGCCAACTCGCTATGAGCAAGCATTACTCAATATTTATAATCAGACAAAAATGAATGACAGACATGTGATGGATAAGATACGAAGTGTGCATACACATACGCTCATATAAAAAGTAGTCAAGGTTAATAAGCGAATAATTAACAAGATCAAAATATGACTCATAATGGATAGGCGAATTGGCTTGGCCAGTAACTAGAATAAAGCATATGGGCTTAACATATAAACTGATACTACATTGTATTTGAGATTCTTGCTTTTTCTTTTGTTTATGTTGAGGCCTATTGATGCAGAGGCTGCTGCTGCTACATTTGTTGTCATCGTCTGTATTTGTTCGTGTGTATGAGAGAGGAGGGCTAGGTCATCTGCGAAGTCCAAATCATCTAATTGATTCTGAGATGTCCATTGTATTCCGTGTTTCCCCTCAGATGTCAAGGTCTTCATAATCTAGTCAATCACCAGAAGAAAGAGGAAGGGAGAGAGTAGACAGCCTTTTCTGACTCTGGTCCTTACTGGAAATGCATCTGTCAGCTGTCCTCCATGCACGACTCTGCACTGTAAACCATCGTGTGAGTTTTGGATAATGTTGACAGTCATCCCAGGAACTCCATAGTGTCGAAGAAGTCTCCATAATGTTCTCCGGTCCACACTCTCGAGCGCCTTCTCATAGTCAATGAAGTTGATGTGTAGTGACGAGTTCCACTTAACTGGTTGCTCAACGATGATCCGTAGTGTCGCAACCTGGTCTGTACACGACTGATCCTTACGGAATCCAGCCTGTTGATCTCGAAATTGGGCATATACTGCGTCTTTCATCCGATTCAGCAGCACTCTGTTGAAAACTTTTCCTGGTACTGATAACAAACTGATACCTCTGTAGTTCTCACATTGGCTCAGATCTCCTTTCTTTGGTATCTTGATGAGATATCCTTCTTTCCAGTCCATTGGCACTTGTTCCTCTTCCCAAATCTTCTTGAATAGAAGGTGAAGCATGTTTTCAGTAACTTCAATGTCTGACTTCAGTACTTCTGCTGGTATATTGTCAGGTCCTGCCGCTTTCCCACTTCTGATTTGTCTGATGGCCATCTTGACTTATTCGATCGTTGGTAGAGTGACATCTATAGGAAGGTCAGTGTGTGCTGCTTCGATGTCCGGTGGATTCATAGGAGCTGGCCTATTCAGCAGTTCCTAGAAGTATTCTACCCATCTTTCCTCTACTCTTGAATTTCTGTGATTGTCTTCCCTTCTTTGTCCTTGACTGGTCTCCGGTTTGCTATATCTCCCTGCCGATTTTTTCATTGTATCATATAGTTGTCTCATATTCCCTTCACTCGCAGCTTTTTCCGCCGTCGTTGCTAGTACTCCCATGTATCTATGCTTGTATGTTTTAATGCTTTTCTTCACTTCCTTGCTTGCTTCTGCGTAGTCTGCTTGTGCTTTGACTTTCTCTGCTCGTGTTCGGCTGTTGTTAACTGCTAGTTTCTTGTTCTTTCTTTCTTGAATCTTTTCCAGGGTTCCCATAGAGATCTATTCCTCATGATGATGCTTCTTAGGACCAAGAACCTCCTGACACGTTGAAGTTAGTGCTTCTTTTATCCCTTTCCAGTTGTCCTCCAAAGTAGTTTCGTGTTCTTTCAGTAGATCCTGTAGAGCTTGGAACCTGTTGTTGAGAGTTATCTTGAATTCGTGGAGCTTGTCAGTATCTCGAAGGAAGGCTGTATTGAGCCTTTGTAGTGCTGTTTATCCAGTTTTCCAGTGTTTCTTTAGTTGCCGTCTTATCTTGGCCACAACCAGGCGGTGATCTGAAGCTATATCAGCTCCTCTCCGGGTTCTCACATCTTCCATTGACCTTCGGTATTTTTTGTTGATACAAATATGATCTATCTTGTCCTCTGTGGTGTGGTCTGGTGAGATCCATGTAGCTTTGTGTATGCGCTTGTGTGGGAATATTGTGCCGCCTATAACCAATTTGTTGAATGCACATAGATTTGCAAATCTCTCCCCATTCTAATTTCTCTCTCCTAGTTCATGTCGTCCCATTATATCCTCATATCCTGTGTTGTCCACTCCAACTTTAGCATTTAGATCCCCCATCAGGATGGTTAGGTCCTTTCGTGAGCACTTCTCTATAATTGATTGCAGCCTTTTATAGAACTGATCTTTATCATCGTCGTTGCTATCATTGTTGGGTGCATAACATTGGATAACATTCATTAGGATTCCTTCCTTCTTTGTTTTGAATGATGCTTTGATTATCCTGGGTCCATGAGATTCCCATCCTACAAGTGCATTTCGTGCTTCTCTGGACAGCATTAGAGTAACTCCTAGAGTGTGTGGAGCATTGTCCCTTTCGTGACCGGAGTACAGCAGCGTCTCTCCCGTACTTAGCCTTTGCTGTCCAGCTTGTGTTTAATGGGTTTCGCTGATTCTGAGTACTGCCAAGTTGTATCTCCTCATTTTCATTGCTATTTGACTGGTCTTCCCGGTCTCCCACATTGTCCGGATATTTCGTATACCCATAAAGAGTGTTGCTCCGGTTGTTAGAAGGGGCATCGATTTCAAGACTTACGAAAAATTTCGGCTTTCATCATGAGGCGTCATAATTCTTCCTTCGACTCGGAGGGCAGATTTTAAGTGGTTTGAATTATTTTTCCTGGTTAGCGTTTTTTTAGCAAATTATTTTTATATGGGTTGGGGATGCTGACCCCATGCCCAACCTTCCTCCATTACCCGGGCTTGGGACCGGTAGTAACTCTAGAAAATCTACAGGCGGAGTTAAACAATAGTAACCTTTTGAATTGTGCTTTGAAATTACGATTGATTAGAACTGTTATTAGATTTTAGTGCGATTAATGATACTTGGATTTCAGGTACATCCAGAAAGCGAGTCCTGAGTGAAATGAAATATACTAACGTGAATCTCACATTGCTAGTCACTATCGAAATTATAAACAACATCACCTTACTGCCGTAGATTTCCGCATAGAATTTTAGCTTTTTATCGATAACAGATTATCATTTAGTGAAATTAAACTTTACGAAATATAAATTATTCTTTCTGTTGCTGTTTAACATCAGGCTATTTATGAACAAACAATATAGATTTCATTATTTAGATAATTTAAAGTTTTATTTTTATGATTCCTTTTGTTTAATAGTAGAATTTTAGAAATTTCGGCTATTAATTTTTAGCTACCACGTTGATGTGTACAAATGATTAGACTTAGCTGCCAAAATGTCAGCTCAGGAGTATGTTTTCGCTAGATGTTAGGTGAATCGAAACGTTCATAAACTGTTTCATTGATTTATGTTCGCAATTGATCATATGTAAAGATACATTCGCTGTATGTTGAATAACCTCATTTTTCCAGTTATTTCTTGCATGGTCACAATGGACTTTTAGTCGTCGAGAATATCATTTGAAAATGCAGCTTACTTTTAAAATAAGTTTAGAGAATATGCGAATTGTTACTATACGAATTTGGTGGACACGTTGGAGATCTATGTATAACTATTGTTCAAGCATTAAACTTGCATGCAGATTTTATAACAAGCAAATACTTGTTCAGTGTCTCAATTGCTGGTCTGCTTTTATTATTATCCAGAAATATAAAATCAAATTAATTGAAACAGCTAATGACTTTCGAATTCGAACAATTCAGGTAAGTTAAATCACTTTTTAACGAATTTAGGTATTGTTAAACAAATGAATATTTGAGCTATTTCCTAAATTTCTCGTGGAATATAATTACACTATGTCAGTGTAATTGATTCAGTCAGTCATAAACGACAGAACTTGATATGTATGTCCGTGTACTGAAGTTGCCACATCAGCTTAACGAAACTCAAGAGTACTAAAGTAGTATCAGTATGAGTAGTAGTTGTAGGAAAGACTAGGGGTGGAAAGTTATGGTTGAAGGAGAAAATATGGGTTTGTGGAATACTACTAAAAAAGATTGATTGCCTTTATCTTTTTGTTGATATCTTATTTTTGTATATTCTTCAGTCTGGTCAATAATAACCTGTTATAAAAACAAGTAATTGGCAGGATAAAGGTTGCTTAGGTACCTGATCTCTAGTATTTATGGAGGTTTGGTAGCTCAAATGTCATTTGTTTTACAAACTCACACCATTTGGAGAAATATCTGAAAAAATGGATGACCATACTTTGAGACGAAACAGTTGTATAAACCAGGGAATCTCTTTAGAAGCCTAAATATTTGTATCGCATGCTACTGAAAGATGATAATTTTGACTTATTTTTGACTTTTCATTTTTTATTATCACCAATTAATGCATGAAAACCATCTTCGTTATTTTCAGAAACAATTCTTAAGACAATGGCATTTAAAACTAACTGAAAACAGAAAACTTCAAGCTTTGAAATCCATAGCTCTAGTGAGATGGTCTTTATGCTTACAAGCAAAAGTGTGGAAGGCTTGGCATTTATGGATTGGAAAACAAAAGTATAAAAGAAACAGACGAAAAATTGCTACCCAACGGTATTATGAGCACAAAACTGTCGACTCTCTAAGACTATGGATTACTGTGGCTTTAAATAAACGTCATGAAAGACATATGAAGTACTGTTCAAAATTTTGGGTATGTTTTTAAAAGAGTTTCACTTATTTAACTTTCATTCTAATTTACATTATTGGAATGTATTCACGTTAGACCGAGCTCAATCTTTTCAATGGAATTGTAGATACTACGATTACTAGATTGTTCTCAATGGTACAATACTTTCTAACTTGGTTTCTCCTGGGTGCTTCCTCTTCAAGTTAGCACTTGGTCCTAAACGAAACGCTTCAAAATTTCCAAATGTATACATATGGCTGATATAATGAGTAGTTAGTCATCCATTAAAAAAAATGAAAAATCATGATCCTTTTGATCACAGAAAACGGAAGTTTAAGATCTGCATGTAACCTGGCGTGCTAACTTCGTATTAACCTAAGGGTTAGGTACCGCATTATTTCATCCCATTCTAACCTTATTTTATTGTTCTTTCTACACAGTTGTATGAATAAATACGCTTTAATTCACCTATTTTTCTTCTATCTCTTTATACTCTCTAGCCGTTTAAACCCACAATCAACACTTTTATTTTATACCTTATTTGTTCTTATGGTCTTTCAAGAATAGACCGTGTAGATTTACATGTATTGTCAATTATTTACATTCATCCATCTTTTTGAACTCCTTACTCCTTCCTCTTCAGCTGAAAACTGTTTTTTTCCATCCCACAAAAGGCTGTTGCTGATAGTATTCAGTCAAGAGACATTGAGTATCTTGCATGGACAATTTTCGATAAATGCTTGTACCTTTTAGATGATGGTCATGGTAGTTCTCCAAGTTTCAGCTCCACACATTAGAGCTTTCTTGACGTTCGTATTGAAGATTCTGAATTCGATATTGGCTTGCAGACAGTTGCTTTGAGTTCAATATGTTCTTCAGCTGTAGGAATGTTGCCCTTGCTTTGTCAACCCTCTCCTTTACGTCTGGATTGAATCCTCCTTGTTCACTGATCATGCTGTCCAAGTACGGGAAACTTTCCACCTCTTCCAGATTTTCTCCATCAAGTGTGACTGTATCACTGTTCTCCGTCTGGTATTTGATGATCTTGCTTTTTCCTTTGTGTATGTTGAAGCTTACTGATTCAGAGGCTTCTGCTACACCGGTTGTCTTGACCTGTATTTGTCGGTGTGTATGGGATAGAAGAACTAAGTCACTTGTAAAGTCCCGATTGTCTAGTTCCATCCAACCCGTCCATTGTATTTCGTGCTTCTCGTCAGATGTCGAGGTCTTCATAATCCAGTCAATCACCAGAAGAGAGAGGAATAGTGAGAGTATACAGCCTTGTCTGACTCTAGTTCTTACTTGGAATGCGTCTGTCAGCTGTCCTCCATGGACCACTTTGCACTGTAGTCCGTCGAATGAATTCCTGATGCTGTTGACAATTTTCTCTGGTACTCCGTAGTGTTGATGAAGTTTTCATAATGTTTTCTTATCAACATTGTCAAATGCTTTCTCATCATCAACAGTATTGATGTACAGTGACGAGTTCCACTTAACTGGTTATCCAACGATGATCCATATTGTCGCATTTTGGTCTGATCACTACCAGTCTGTTGATCTTAAAGCTAGACTTCTGTTGAATCCTTCATCCGGTTCAGCAAAATTCTATTGAGAACTTTTCCTAGTACTGACAGTGGTGTGATGCCTCTTTAGTTCTCACACTTGTTGAGATATTTCTTTGGTATCTTGACGGGGTATCCTATAGGGAGATTTGTAGATGCTGCTTCATTTTCTGGCGGATTCAATGGAGCTGGCCTATTCAAGTGTTCCTCAAAATGTTAATACTTCTTTGATCCCTTTCCAGTTGTCCTCCATCGTAGTTTCTTGTTCTTTCAGTAGATCCTGCAAGGCTTGGAAGTTGTCGTTGAGGGTTATCTTGAATTGATTGGGTTTGTTAGTATCTCTAAGGAAGTCTGTATTGAACCTTTGTAATGCTGTTTATCCAGTTGTGCAATGCTTCTTTAGCTTCATCTTGGCAACCTGCAAGTGGTGATCTGAAGCTTTATCAGCTGCTCTCATGGTTCTCACGTCTTCCATTGATCTTCTCAATTTTTTACTGATGCGAATACTATCGATTTGGTTCTGTTTGGTGTGATTAGGTGAGACTCATGTACTTTTGAGTGGGGATATTGTGCCGTCTATAACCAATTTGTTTAATGTACATAGATTTAGAAATCTGTCACCATTCTCGTTTCTTTCTCTCAGTCAGTCCATGTCGTCCCACGAAATCTTTATTATCGATGGTGTCCATTCCAACTTTAGTGTTTAGGTCTCTCATCAGGATTTTCAGGTCATTTCCCGAGCACTTCGTTATGATCGATCTCAGCCTCTCATGAAAATGATATTTATCGTCGCCGTTGCTATCATTGGTGGGTGCATAACCTTAGATAAGATTCATTGTGATCCCCTCCTTTTTTGTTCAGAATGATGCTTTGATAACTCTAGATCCATGAGATTCCCATCCTATTAGTGGCTCCAGAGGTCGACTATTATGGAGTCATATGGATGAGTTCCTCTACCTTATGCATTACGATTTTAGAACCTTTGAACCTCTTTCTAACCTTGACAAGTTTTTGGACCATGTAAAATAAGTGTATCCACTTTAATTCTTTGGTTTAATATAACATATCTTTACTCTATACTAACTGTTTCCTGATTGGCTAATATCTATCAATGTCACTTAGGCTTCGTTCAAAGGTCGTCCATAAACTATAGTCTCGTCACGTGCTCCACTGTCTAGCTCAGATCACTAAAGTATATGAAAAGCATGGAAAAGTTACACTCTCACATCAGACCCAGAAAGTCGAATATAGGAATTAATCAGAAGAAAATATTAAAAATCTGAAAAACATGTTTCGTACGACTGTGAATTATTTACAGATCACTCACTGGAAAACACGACTGATGTTATCACTTGTTATCGTAAATTATATTTCGATATTTGTTGTCCCACCGAAACTAAATTTTTTAAGATTTGATCGACTTACATCTGCACAACTAAAACGACTGAGGAGGGTAAAAGAAAGAATGTATAGGGAGAAAAACTCTGCTGAGGTTTGTAAGCTAAATGGTCTAATAAACCTAGAGATTAGACGTCTCAACTCTATGTTTGCTCAGAAACTCCTATCTTGTAGAAACTCTCCAAGTATGTGGAAACTCTTTATAGAACTTACAGGTGACAGGCAGATTAGAAGCGATAACCACCTGAATGTTTGTGACTTAAATAAGTCTTTTGTACGTCAGTCATCTGATGTCATGCTCCCTATATCCACAGGTTTAAAAATCGTGTTTTAAGTGTGGAGTTACTAAATAACTTTTTATCTGACAGAATTCAGCCTCACAACGCAAGGTGTGAGGAAATGCGCCTTCAATTTCTCTTGATAAAGCTAGAGAAATAGCACCAAAAACATGAATATAATGGGTCAAACGCCAGAAATATTTGGGTGGGATCTTGTTTCCGGGATCCTATTACTGTAATTCGGAAGTTTCTCTGAAAGGGCAGAACCAGCTTTCAACCAGATAGTCCTGTACAAATTAAAATGATAAAACAATGACTGAACTCTATTTGAGGCTTATCTGTGCGACTCACTACATACCGTACAAATATTCACATGAGTGTTCCCTGTATTATCATTTTACTAATGGAATTCTGTCACCGAATTTATTCCCTGATCAAAAATCCACTTTAATCACGAACTGATCTTGCATCCCATGCTTCTTTGATGTGTGTCAGTACTGGTAAGTTCCGTTCTTCCTGGAACCAGTTTTACTGTAACCGTTTGCATCTGCGACAAAGAATTTATATATGCTTTCTGTACTTACTTGCGTTTGTTACCCCTTATGAAAGCATAGTCCGCCTAGTGGGTAGGTGACAGTGAGTGAAAACATAATCTGCCATCTTCCACAGAAAAAACTTTCGTGAAATATGCGGACAACCTGACTGTATGTATGCCAATTTCTACCTCTTTACATCCCATAGAGGTGAATGAGTTTTTGTCTCGTATTAAATGGTGGTCTGTCGTTAATTATCTCACACCTATTGCGTATAAATGTCAAACTGTTAACTTTAGACCAAGACATGAACAGTAACATAATCCCACGTTGTGACCTCATAATGCTTGTACCATTGGAGACTCTTTGACAAACACAGTGTGAAGGTTCAGTTATCTTGGTACTACCTTTTTCTCTGATCTCCCTTGGTTTTCTTATGTTTTACTGTTATCGAATAAAGTTTTCCGTCTGACCCATTACATAAAGAGGCTGCATGGTTTTGGGATTACTCACCATTTACTCTTACAATTTGTCGATTCCTGCATATAACCTATTATACTTTACTGTTATTCATTATTCTTTCCCAGGTTTTTGAGAAAAGACTTTGCTGTACTGTGGATATTACTGAAAGTATTTAGCAATGTGTGTGTTGAATATTTTGAGGTCATTATTAATGTGGTTATGGATAGACATTTTAAGTCTTGCAAACTCCTGTCAGGTGTCATCTTATCAGATATTAACCATCCACTTCATTTATATCTTTCTCCTTGTATATCTCCTGGTAGTAAGAGACGTAAATACATTAAAATCCATGCACGCAGGCAAATCTGTGAATGTTCTGTAATACCTTACCTAGCAAATATATTATGTGACAAACAGGTTGTTGGAGTTATCCTAGTCAATAACCTGTACTTTTAAGCATGTCTCAAATTTGATAAGTTGTACGGACTCAGATTTTTTTCACATTTTCCTTCATTTTTTTCGGTAAAACAACTTGTTGAAATACCTCGTGCTAAGAATTCTATGGTGTACCAAAATATAATATTGAATAAAGCCATTAATAATAATAATAATGCCCAACCCTCGTCCTTTATGTGGGTTTGCGACCGGCAGTAAACACGATAGAGCTACAGCCTGTGTTGAACTCATTCGTACCTTTCAAAAAAATTCACTGAACAAATCAGATACGGCTAGATCAAAAAATATTATTATTTGGTTGTTAGGATATTTTATCTGACTGCTTTTACATATCATTTGTAATTCTTCTTTTATTTCAGAACAATGACATTCGTGTTTTTCAATTAGTACTTAATACAGCAACACGTTGGTACTGGTGGACGTTTTCTAGAGGAATTCGTCAAAATATAAGGGAACTTAATGCGAGTAGTATTTGGGCTGACTTTTCTGGATTGACTAATGAAAATCGCATATCGAGACTTTCAGAGTGTGGCAGTAATTTCAGAGCAATACGAAATCGTGAACTAACACCTGCACGTTTTCCTGATTTTATTATCCCTGAACTAAATTCACTTGGGCTTACTAATACTGTAAGTTAAAAGGTTCTGTACACTACCAGTTTAATGCATTTTCTAAATTTTGACTATTATAACGTTTTAGGCAGAATTCGAACAAACATCAGTTCATGTACCTCCATTAATAGAAACTTTTCACCATGAGACGACCAATTGTCCAGATATTCATTCCTGTGTTTATTCATGTAAGTAATAGAATGCGCGTTAGTTTACTTTTTCCCATATTTTATCGTTTAACAATCACTGTGTGTACACGAAGATTTGTTGAATGAAAATAATCGCTTTAACAAATTAATTTTCTGAGACTTCTTCAAACAGTAATTAAAAGTATCCGTTTAATATTTCTCTTTATTAATTGCTAACTTACGACGTTTAGCTTAAAAGGAATCATCAACAGCATTGGACGCTTCTATTGTCACTACCAAACATGTTTCCTCGATAATTTATTGCAGCAAAGTTCACCCGCAGAAAATTTGCTTCATTTCGAGTTAAATGAAGTGTTCCTCAGCTAATCGTATACGGTTTCCTAAATGCGTGACTGAAATCTTATCAAAATAATAAAATAAATTGAGAGACAAAATTCTTCACCTTCTTTTTTACGAATGATCTTACTGCAAAGAAGTGCTATTAAATAGTCTATAAAAAAAGAGTTCCAGCATTTTGCATTTTCTGATGCATGTCCAAGGTTTTTCAGCGTCCTCAAGCTCCTAAATTATTTTTGTTGAGTATTTTTAGTGTACCTAATTTACATATAGTATACTATTATAAACTGTAAATATTTATTGCGAAAAGTTCATTCCATGTTAGTCTTTGATTACATATCAGTAATAGGAAAAATGATAACGTCCTCATAAGTTTATTTATTTTGAAGTCTACAACGTATACATCTGCTAACATTCACCGACTTTCATGAATTATCTAGTTCACTAGTTTATGGATAACATAGGAATAATTATCATGTATTTCGCTAAACAAATAACTCTAGCGGTTTAAATGTTGCAAAAATAATCATTTGATTATAGGGAACGACTGATATTTAACATTTACAAGTTAAAAACTTTGGTTTCCAAAGCAATGATCTTAATTCATTCATTAAGTCATGTAACTTCTCAAATAGGAAGTAGGTATCATTACCAAGTTTTGATTTGATAATTTTGAATAAATTGAGCATTGGGTAGATTGTTATAAATAAATTAATATATCCCAATGAGTAGAAAAATTAGATTTTCTGACGTTTCGTGACTCAGTGTAAGCCACTTCTTCAGAGAACAAATAACCAAATTAACAATAATCCAAGTTTAAATAGTACAACGGAACAATCCAAGAATAATTAAGTTCATATATTTATTATTTATTTATTATTATTTATTTATTCTCAAATAGGAGTTCTATTTTAATTTATACAAAGTATTTGTTATATCCCCCGGTGAATTACGAACGGTAACTTTTAGGTCTATTTATGGATCAATGTAATGTGCCTATTTCCTATTGTACAATTATTACATAACTGAACTATTCATATTCGTATTTCTCTTATTATTAGCTTTATTTTGATCTTTGATTTATGATCATACGATTCTTGAGTTATAATCAGTTTATTGATTACTTTGGGTTGTATAAAACCCCAGTGTGTTTGTAAATAATGATTCATATTGCCGAGGCTGTTATTGGTGTTTTGGGCTTAACTGGTTGGGCTAGGCAGATAGGAAGGACCGAATAGCACTCAAGACTGCCCGTACGATTTCATGTATCATTTGCGTCCGATCAATAAATTCACTCCTCTCTAAATTGGCGTTCATATATTAAATTGGGCACTCATACGTTATAACAGTATTGTATATTTATTATGCTGGATAGTACTATATATTTATTCCTAATCTTTTACTACTTAAATTCATTTAGTATTGTTTGTTTGAATTTTCCCATCGATGTGTTAGGACTGCAACTGTTCAGTCTCTAATTGGCATTCTCCGGGTAAACGTAGGGTAGTTCCAACCAACTCTGTTGGACAGTTAAACAAAATGTGTTCAAGTGTTTGTCTAGCATTTTATTCCAATATTGTTCGCTTAAACAATTGTCTTTGTTGCTTTCAACTTATGCATTTTTCTCCTAGTTTCCAATCCACCAGATGTTCATGAAATTAATTTATATCTAGACTCATTGGTGGAGCGGATATCTTACTACAGAATGATAAAGTCGAAATATAAGTAAGTAGTATAATGTTCATAAACATTTCCAGACTGATTCATCAACGCCTTTATTTAGAGGGTCAGACTGAGATTAAAGCTACTTACAATGAAGAGGTGAGTTAATTTTAAACAGTACTTTCAGTTACAGGGATCTGCTGATGTATATTTCAAGTATCAACTGAAGATGGAGAAAGATACGTGTAACCTGCTCATCAAACAACTACGATCTTTTTTTGTCCAGTTATCTAAGTCTACATAATATAAAATGGTTGGTTATTAGTGACTTTTTAACTTCGGTTCAGTATCAATTGCATTTTCTGTACTCCTTCGCTGGAATTTGTTATTAGTGACGCTTTCGTGTCTTTCAAGTCTAATAATCGTGTAAGTCTTGGTTGGCAGTTATTTTGACTTTGGTATGTAAATAAAATATATGTTGATGTGTTTTGATGATTTCTTTGGCCGAAGCGTGCACAGACCTTGTTAGTAGATTCATTTGCAAGTGTTTCGATCACTTTCTATTTCAGGTCTTTATTACTGTATGGATAAAGTGCATTCACATACTCTATACTCTTATTCTGACATCAACACATGATCTGGATGCTCTAGAAAAGTCAATATCTGTTTTCTATTATTAGTAACCGTTGTATCCCGTGGAGAATTACGAATGGTAACTTTTGAGGACTATTCATGTACCAATATGATATATATATATATATTTCCTATTGCATAACTGTTATGTAACTAAACTATTCATATTCGTGTCCCTCTTATTATAAGCTTTATTTTGACCTAAAGACTATGATTATACGATTTACCATTCCTAAGTTATACCCAGTCTATTAATTACTGTCCCCCCTATTCACGGTCACATTTGGCCAAATCTTGTACAAATGTTATTTTCTATTTTATGATACGATGGGGTCAGTTTGTTTGGTATATAAACCCAACATGTTTGAGAATAATGATTCACTCCTCTCTATAGGCAGGGATCATTACTTCATATATCGAACAGGGCACACGTTCGCACGCGCACAATATAACAGTAACATGACATTAGGGCCTACTTTGTTGTTGTTTTTAATCAATGACCATGGCGAAAACGCATAAACCTAATGGTCGGTATCCGTGTTTCATCTGTCGTACATGAATATGTGTCCTAATAGGTGATCCTGTTTTTTCCAAGCTTCTTGTTCATTGATAAGGATTAATGCCGTCCTCTAAGAAACTGATATATCTTAAATCTCACAATGGCTGTTACGATATATTAATTTCACTTGTTACATTTTCATTCAGAAAAGCTCAATACGCTTTAGAATTTGAAATGAGTAGTTCAACACTTCTATAGGTCCTTAAAACTATTCAATTGGACGCGACGAATGGCCTGTTAAGTAATAACAACTTTTTGATGACTGTACGTTACCCAGAATCCATGCTGATGTATAATTACGACCATATAGCTACATATATTTTGATGGTTGTTGTCAATAATATGAACCCACTTATAGAAAAAGCCTACACAGCTCAAATGACTATGATTTTATAACGAATCAGTATATGTTGTTGACTGTCTAGATTACTCCAAAGTTTAAGCTTCTGACTATTCGACAACACTGGTGAACCAACGCTCGCCGGCCGAGTTCGATATTCGGGCATCTATCATATGAGACAGCTCGATGATTTCTCTGTATTTCTGGCTATGATTCGTGCGAACTAGTGAATTATTAGAAGAATCAATGCGATAAGATCAGTGATGTGGTTGTGTTTTCGTATGTTTGTATACTCGAGATAATCTAGCATTCCATAACTAAAGCACTTACTCGATTATGAATTTTATTAAGTGACTGGGAATGACTGAAGGGATAATCTATCTTAATCGATTCCATAATATGTAGGCTTGTTTTGAAGCGTAGACCATGGTGTCACCTACCCACTGGGGTACAGTTTATAGAACGACTATTCGATCCCTTAACCTGTTGTACTTAGACATTACGAATGAACAAGTGTTACGTAAAGGTATAATGGTACTTCTTGAGGAAATTTATTCAATAGAATATAATTAAAAATGTATTATAGAAAACATTCATCAGCAACCGCCTACTGTACAAGAGGGCAAACCAGCTTTCAGTTGGAGAGGAAATTAGAAAAAGAGGTTGGAAGTAGATAGGACATGGATTACGAGAAACACCAATCTGAATCACGACGCAAAACCTAACTTGGAATCCTGAAGGAAAACGGAAAAGTGGAAGGCCTAAGAACACACTACGTCGGAAATAGGAAGCAGACATGAAAATGACGAACAGTAACTGGAAACAACTGAAAGGGATTGTACAGGCCAAGGTTGGACGTAGAGTGCTGGTAGGCGGCCTATGCTTTCATGAGGGGTAACAAACGCAAGTAAGTACAGAAAGCATATATAAATTCTTTGTCGCAGATGCAAACGGTTACAGTAAAACTGGTTCCAGGAAGAACGGAACTTACCAGTACTGACACACATCAAAGAAGCATGGGATGCAAGATCAGTTCGTGATTAAAGTGGATTTTTGATCAGGGAATAAATTCGGTGACAGAATTCCATTAGTAAAATGATAATACAGGGAACACTCATGTGAATATTTGTACGGTATGTAGTGAGTCGCACAGATAAGCCTCAAATAGAGTTCAGTCATTGTTTTATCATTTTAATTTGTACAGGACTATCTGGTTGAAAGCTGGTTCTGCCCTTTCAGAGAAACTTCCGAATTACAGTAATAGGATCCCGGAAACAAGATCCTACCCAAATATTTCTGGCGTTTGACCCATTATATTCATGTTTTTGGTGCTATTTCTCTAGCTTTATCAAGAGAAATTGAAGGCGCATTTCCTCACACCTTGCGTTGTGAGGCTGAATTCTGTCAGATAAAAAGTTATTTAGTAACTCCACACTTAAAACACGATTTTTAAACCTGTGGATATAGGGAGTATGACATCAGATGACTGACGTACAAAAGACTTATTTAAGTCACAAACATTCAGGTGGTTATCGCTTCTAATCTGCCTGTCACCTGTAAGTTCTATAAAGAGTTTCCACATACTTGGAGAGTTTCTACAAGATAGGAGTTTCTGAGCAAACATAGAGTTGAGACGTCTAATCTCTAGGTTTATTAGACCATTTAGCTTACAAACCTCAGCAGAGTTTTTCTCCCTATACATTCTTTCTTTTACCCTCCTCAGTCGTTTTAGTTGTGGAGATGTAAGTCGATCAAATCTTAAAAAATTTAGTTTCGGTGGGACAACAAATATCGAAATATAATTTACGATGACAAGTGATAACATCAGTCGTGTTTTCCAGTGAGTGATCTGTAAATAATTCACAGTCGTACGAAACATGTTTTTCAGATTTTTAATATTTTCTTCTGATTAATTCCTAAATTCGACTTTCTGGGTCTGATGTGAGAGTGTAACTTTTCCATGCTTTTCATATACTTTAGTGATCTGAGCTAGACAGTGGAGCACGTGACGAGACTATAGTTTATGGACGACCTTTGAACGAAGCCTAAGTGACATTGATAGATATTAGCCAATCAGGAAACAGTTAGTATAGAGTAAAGATATGTTATATTAAACCAAAGAATTAAAGTGGATACACTTATTTTACATGGTCCAAAAACTTGTCAAGGTTAGAAAGAGGTTCAAAGGTTCTAAAATCGTAATGCATAAGGTAGAGGAACTCATCCATATGACTCCATAATAGTCGACCTCTGGAGCCACTAATAGGATGGGAATCTCATGGATCTAGAGTTATCAAAGCATCATTCTGAACAAAAAAGGAGGGGATCACAATGAATCTTATCTAAGGTTATGCACCCACCAATGATAGCAACGGCGACGATAAATATCATTTTCATGAGAGGCTGAGATCGATCATAACGAAGTGCTCGGGAAATGACCTGAAAATCCTGATGAGAGACCTAAACACTAAAGTTGGAATGGACACCATCGATAATAAAGATTTCGTGGGACGACATGGACTGACTGAGAGAAAGAAACGAGAATGGTGACAGATTTCTAAATCTATGTACATTAAACAAATTGGTTATAGACGGCACAATATCCCCACTCAAAAGTACATGAGTCTCACCTAATCACACCAAACAGAACCAAATCGATAGTATTCGCATCAGTAAAAAATTGAGAAGATCAATGGAAGACGTGAGAACCATGAGAGCAGCTGATAAAGCTTCAGATCACCACTTGCAGGTTGCCAAGATGAAGCTAAAGAAGCATTGCACAACTGGATAAACAGCATTACAAAGGTTCAATACAGACTTCCTTAGAGATACTAACAAACCCAATCAATTCAAGATAACCCTCAACGACAACTTCCAAGCCTTGCAGGATCTACTGAAAGAACAAGAAACTACGATGGAGGACAACTGGAAAGGGATCAAAGAAGTATTAACATTTTGAGGAACACTTGAATAGGCCAGCTCCATTGAATCCGCCAGAAAATGAAGCAGCATCTACAAATCTCCCTATAGGATACCCCGTCAAGATACCAAAGAAATATCTCAACAAGTGTGAGAACTAAAGAGGCATCACACCACTGTCAGTACTAGGAAAAGTTCTCAATAGAGTTTTGCTGAACCGGATGAAGGATTCAACAGAAGTCTAGCTTTAAGATCAACAGACTGGTAGTGATCAGACCAAAATGCGACAATATGGATCATCGTTGGACAACCAGTTAAGTGGAACTCGTCACTGTACATCAATACTGTTGATGATGAGAAAGCATTTGACAATGTTGATAAGAAAACATTATGAAAACTTCATCAACACTACGGAGTACCAGAGAAAATTGTCAACAGCATCAGGAATTCATTCGACGGACTACAGTGCAAAGTGGTCCATGGAGGACAGCTGACAGACGCATTCCAAGTAAGAACTAGAGTCAGACAAGGCTGTATACTCTCACTATTCCTCTCTCTTCTGGTGATTGACTGGATTATGAAGACCTCGACATCTGACGAGAAGCACGAAATACAATGGACGGGTTAGATGGAACTAGACAATCGGGACTTTACAAGTGACTTAGTTCTTCTATCCCATACACACCGACAAATACAGGTCAAGACAACCGGTGTAGCAGAAGCCTCTGAATCAGTAGGCTTCAACATACACAAAGGAAAAAGCAAGATCATCAAATACCAGACGGAGAACAGTGATACAGTCACACTTGATGGAGAAAATCTGGAAGAGGTGGAAAGTTTCCCGTACTTGGACAGCATGATCAGTGAACAAGGAGGATTCAATCCAGACGTAAAGGAGAGGGTTGACAGAGCAAGGGCAACATTCCTACAGCTGAAGAACATATTGAACTCAAAACAACTGTCTGCAAGCCAATATCGAATTCAGAATCTTCAATACGAACGTCAAGAAAGCTCTAATGTGTGGAGCTGAAACTTGGAGAACTACCATGACCATCATCTAAAAGGTACAAGCATTTATCGAAAATTGTCCATGCAAGATACTCAATGTCTCTTGACTGAATACTATCAGCAACAGCCTTTTGTGGGATGGAAAAAAACAGTTTTCAGCTGAAGAGGAAGGAGTAAGGAGTTCAAAAAGATGGATGAATGTAAATAATTGACAATACATGTAAATCTACACGGTCTATTCTTGAAAGACCATAAGAACAAATAAGGTATAAAATAAAAGTGTTGATTGTGGGTTTAAACGGCTAGAGAGTATAAAGAGATAGAAGAAAAATAGGTGAATTAAAGCGTATTTATTCATACAACTGTGTAAAAAGAACAATAAAATAAGGTTAGAATGGGATGAAATAATGTGGTACCTAACCCTTAGGTTAATACGAAGTTAGCACGCCAGGTTACATGCAGATCTTAAACTTCCGTTTTCTGTGATCAAAAGGATCATGATTTTTCATTTTTTTAATGGATGACTAACTACTCATTATATCA